GTACAATTTGTTTTTCACTTAGCGACCGAGACTTCGACCGTTTTACCTTTTTCGACGTTGAAGGCCCTTCAATGTCTTCCATTTTTTGCATAGTTTTAGAACGGTGTAGAAATATTATTATTTAATGTTTAAACACTTATTAGCACTTATATTTTCACCAATTGTTCTTACAACACGTCGATTACTTACTAACTTAACTGTAAAACTTACAATTCACACCGTATAATTCAAAACCCGATGTTACGCTCGTGGTTAGAAATACACTACTGAGAACGTCATCGACGAGATGGATTTTACGCGTAACAAACAAAGACACAAATATCGCTCCGTACACCGATGCCATTAGTTGTAACAAATACTGAACAATCCATAAAATAATTAATTTTAAATGATCAAGAAATGTATAAGTATTACTCATTACTGATTTTTGTTATAATTAATATCTTTTATTAGTACTATGATTGTATATTATCTATAATTTGCCACAACTCTACTACTTACTCTATTTTGATTCTGCTAAAAACTAGTAAGGTAAAATTGAGATATGACAACACGGTTCACTCTCAATCATTATTTGTTTGAGATTAGCTGGATTTGGCGATGTGGTCCTCGTACAGGTTCTCCAAACTTCAGCAATGTTGGTCCTATGCTTGGATGTACACCTTTTGCTCAGTTTATTTCACCAATTTTCGTGATTTCGATTTGCCGTTAAACTATTAAAATAGACCCATTTGACACGATTTTGGTTGTCACGCCGTTAGGCAATCCTACTGACTGCGTCACTTTTAGGTTCGCTAATAAAAAAATTGGTTTTTAAAAAATGACAAAACTGCAAAAAGCGGAACTTTATGTCTTAACAATACAAAAGTTAAAATGTAAAAGCTATAAAATGCCGGCAACTAACTAGTTTTGTCGCCGTTAGATCTTGGTGGGTCCTTATCTTGGACTTGCTGCGTCTGCATAATTCTTATTCTACAGTTCCTTCTAAATTGCCGAAATATGAATTTTTCATTAATAAGTTTAACGATAAACTAATAAATTATATTATAAGACTTGATAAATGTGTTGAAAAAAGCAAGGTATCAATAGTAGATGTGAATAATAAGGATGGGTATAGTATTAGTAAAAAAATATTAGCACTTAGATTATCAAATTTAATTAACAATGACAAAAAAAATGGTACTTTGATCCACATAACATGTAATAATGTAATTTGTGATGTTACAAATACTGAAACTTCTAACAAGAATTTAAATGACAATGTTATAGATATAACAAATGACTTAAATGTAGGACTCAATAGCGATGTAAATTTTGTCAATTTAGCCGACGAAATGTCAATAACATAGATACTAAAAGTGTTTATTTATCACATAAGGATCCTGTAAAAAGTATTTGTTATGATATATTTTTGTGTAACATTGAAGGATTGAAACAACATAAACTTGATAACCTTATATCGGAAATCAATCATTTCTCTATAAATTTTGTCTGCTTAACAGAAACATGGGTATCTAAACAGGATATAAAAACATTTCATTTTCCAGGTTATAACCTAGCTAGTTGTTTTAGTCGTTCATTGTATCAACGAGGTGGTGTCTGCATATGGTCCAAAGAACATCTCATAATTGAATCGATTTCCTTTGAAGAATATTGCATAGAGAAGGAAATAGAAATATGTGGTATAAGGTGGATATTCAATGGCGATACATTTATAATTCTCTCATGTTATAGGTCACCTAGCGGACATCCTACAACATTTTTATCCAATCTTAACTTAATTCTAAATAAAATTTATCAGCCCAAGTATTTCATAGTTCTCTCTGGGGATTTTAATCATACCTCTATGAACTCAAATCAAAGCTTTGCCTTTGAACAGTTAGTCACATCATATGGGCTCATCCCAAAAAATTTTACTCCTACTCGAACTACCAAAACATGTAGTAATGTACTTGATCAGATTTACACAAATTACAAAGATACTGTAGGAATCGTAACTTTAAATACAGACTCAGATCATGACAATTTCCTGTTAAAATTCAATAAGCTAAAACTAAAAACCAATCCTAGCTCATATCAAAGTCGATTAATGGGAGAGACTAACATTAACGACCTAATAACATACCTTTCCAAAGAAAACTGGAATGGGATATATCAAGAAAATACTACCAACTCAAAATTCAATGTGTTTCACAATACTTTAACATACTATTTTAACGCTAGTTGCCCTTTAAGACAAATAAATGCTTCCAGATTACCACCTCGCTGTTGGGTAAATAAGAACATAAAAGAGTCCTCTAATAAATTAAAAGATCTGTTTCAATTGAAGAAAAAATTCCCCGAGTTGCATGAATGTTATCATCATGCTAAAATAAATCATAGAAAGCTTGTTCAAAACACGAAATCCGAATATTATAATAATAAAATTAATGATTCGGCAAATAAAAATATAGCAACATGGAAAGTCATAAATGAACTACAAGGTAAGACAAAGACAACAAAGAGTATTTCAATTCACAACGATGGCAAAATTATTGAAAACCCAACAACTATAGCTGATATGTTCAATCAGTTTTTTACTTCGATTCCATATGAAACAATTAACAGAATCTCAACTCCAAAAACAAATCATAAATATAATAACAATAAGTCACCCACAAAGAGCTTTTTTACTTCTTATGTCTCTGAATCAGATGTAAACACAGTCATAAAACAAAAAATCAAAAACAAACCATCCAGCGGTTTTGACGATATCTCTGGAAACTTGATAAAGAAAATCGCAGAATATATTTTAACACCACTAACTCATATAATTAATTATTCCCTGGAAGAAGGTATTTTTCCCGAAAGATTAAAAACATCTATAGTAACGCCTATATTAAAAAGAGGTAACCCGCACGATATGTCTAATTATCGACCTATCTCAATGACTTCTACTCTTTCAAAAATATTCGAATACATAATGCTGGAGCAACTAATGAAATACCTTAACTTAAATCAGATTATATCTGAATCTCAACACGGATTCCGTCCTAAATACTCTACAAATACAGCCATTATCTCCTTATACGAAAAAGTGCTTCAATCTATTGAGTGTAGTGGGGGTTCGGCTGGGATTTTCTGTGATCTTAGCAGAGCCTTTGACTGTGTTCAGCATGATGTTTTATTAAATAAACTTCACTCATCTGGAATTAGAGGCAATCAAAATAAATGGTTTGAAACATATCTTACAAATAGACCCCAAATGGTTAAAAGTAACAACTCAGGAAAACAGTGTTTCTCTCAAGAAATAATAAATAATATAGGAGTGCCCCAAGGGTCAGTGTTAGCTCCCATACTTTTCACAATTTATGTAAATGAACTTCCAGAATTACTTTACCATGCATTCACAATTCTCTATGCAGATGATTCGACTTTCTTGTTTTCTGATCCCATTGAAGAACAATTGAAAAATAAAATCGATAGGTCAATTAAAATATTCTCGGAATGGGCTAGTAATCTCTCATTATTATTTAATATTACAAAAACTAACTACATTTATTTCCATACATACCAAAATTCTAATATACCTTGTCTAGATATGTCTGTAAACAACACACACATAAATACAGTTGATTCCACAAAATTTCTAGGAATAACATTCGATGAAAATCTATCGTTTAAAACTCACTGTCAAAATTTAGCGACAACCTTAAACTCACAATGTTTTCAACTTCGTAACCTTAAATGCATTTTAAAACCTCACCATCTTCGTCAAATTTACTTCGCAAATGTACATTCTAGGTTGATTTATGGTATCTGTGTATGGGGCGGATCATCCCATGCTAATGAAGTATTTATATCTCAGAAGAGAATTATAAGATGCTTGGCTGGTATTCTACCAACAGATTCCTGTCGCCCTCTATTTAAAAAACTTAAAATCCTTACCGTATTCGGAGTATATATTTTAGAACTTTTAATATACATATATAAAAACAAATCGAATTTTAAACGTAATAGCGACTTTCATTCATATAGCACCAGGAACAAAGATGAACTTGTTCCTCTGTTAGCACAGCTAAATATTTGTGCTAAGTCACCAACAATTCTTGGAATAAAATTATTCAATAAACTGCCACAGAGCATAAAAAATGAATCAACATTAAAAACATTTAATTATCGAATAAAACAACAGCTTTTAGAAATATGTCCATATTCAGTGCAAGAATATTTTCAATATAAATTTGTACCACATGCTTCACCACCAAACTGTTCTAGATAAATTTATACAAATGCCCCTTTTCGCCTACCATTCTACGTTTGTCTCTCCTATATTTGTCTGTATTGTTTTGTTTAATTACTTTTATTTATTGTATACACCTTTATATTTATAATTCTGACGTGTCCAATAACATTATAACTGTTTAAATGGATTAATAAAGAATAGTAATAGTAATTCGAAAACAATAATAAGAACACAATTATATACATATTTACAATATACCAAAAATAAATCATTTATTTGATTATAGGAAACTCAAATCTCACGCTAGAATTTATGGTTTATACAGCCGACTTGCCGTTCGCAATGCAGATTTACCCCATGTATTACATTTTTCTTTTTGTTATATGTTAAGCGAAGTGAGTCAGTTGACGGTTGAGAGAAGAGTGTCGTGTCGAAAACGATTAACACATCGATTCCGAGGCATGTTGACTGTTCGAAGCCTGAAATTGGAGTTAAATGACGATAGGCGAAAGAATGAGTGTTACGTGATCGCGAATGGCTTGAACAGGGGCAGATTAGGAAATGTTGTTTAAATTTAAGAATTTATTATGAAATTTAAACAGTTTCTTAGAATTCTAATTATTAAGGTTCATTTTTTGGTTTTATAATTTATTTAATTTTACTTGTTTTCCAGAGTATGGTAAAACCGAACCACAATACTTAATATTTATTACATATATTAATAATAAACTAAAAATTTACTTTTAGAAAATTATTCGCGCTTTTATTTTTTCAGAAATCCTACTCCTGAGCCAATCGATTTATTGCAGAATATTACTTGGCCTACTGTTAAACCAAATGATTTTCAATATTTAGCCATTGGAGCTTGGTTAGAAGTAAGAAAAAATCCTAAGGAAGATATGTATAGATTTTGGGAACAGATCTTTTCCAGCTATGGGACTGAACCATTTACGTCCTATTAAGAACAATAATTTTAACCTATTCCTAATTATAACCTACATTTAATAAATGGAATTAAATGATTACCTAGAAATATTATTCAAAATATGATCCTAGTAAAATTACTTAACAAATTAACTCATTTGAATACCAATCCTTGATAGTTCACTGCAAAATTAATGCACCATGTCGTATACGACGCAAAACAACTTAATTTTATGGTACAACTGCCCGTTCCTACCCTGTACTGCAACGACAGAAATACCCTTGCTAATTGCGCATGATCAAAAGATCTCAAATAAATACGCGCTGTCATTTTGGTTCCACTGACATTTAGTTCTAACCAAACTTTTAACAAAAACATCAATAAATTTGACATATACGTTTTTACCTTAGATTAAAGAGACCGAAGATGTAACATTGCACACTGCGCATGCAGTCTATTTTAAGCCAAAGTAACCCACCAATTGAAAATCATTGTTGCACGACGCCAACCGAATTGCTCCGATTTCCATTCAGCGATCACACCTGCACCTGAGTTTAATCACCAATGACAGCTGTTTTTTGATTTATTTGTTGGTATTTTAGCAATTTAAAGTGTTCTAGTTATTCAATTTCAAGTTCAAAATGTCACGATGTATCTTGAAAAATTGTATGTACTTATAATACAAGTACTACTGTTATGAATATATTCGTTTTCAGCGGTAAATATTTATTAACGTTTTGACATAAAGCGCCATGATTCTCTGGGCTGAATACTTCAGATCCGCATTAAGGGGTTTCAATAAATATTAAGCATCAGAAATCAGATTTCATATTACTTACATAAATTTACAAAAGGGTAAAATTTTGAACATTTAATTTAAATAAATAGTAAATAGGCATTATTGCTAACGAAATTTTGTATTTAAAAAGTAGTTTTATAAGAATGTTTTCTAAAGGTAGTTTTTAGCCCTTTTTGGTAGATAAATAAGAGGTAAAGAATTCATAGTTGCTAGCTAAATATTATTTTTATAAGGTATTTTTATAAGGTATTTTTATAAGGTATTTTTATAAGGTATTTTTATAAAGGTATTTTTATAAGGTATTTTTATAAGAATATTAGATGAAATACAGGATGACCTACTTAAAATTTCAAGGTTCATCTTATTTGCGGTCAAATTGAAAGTGACATTGAAATTTTCAGTCTTAAAACAAAGTAATCTAGTATAAACAAAAAAAAAATACTAAAGTTACAGGAGTTAGGTCCGATTCCACCGTTGTGTTAAACGGAGATTAAAATGACAGTGTTAATGTAAAAATGTCATTTAAACTTCGTTTAACACAACGGTGGAATCAACCCTTAGTCACGTTAATAAAATGTTACATTACAAACCCCTAAACAACTCGAACATAATTTTCGTTTACTAAAAAAAATCAAAACTTTAGCAATATTTATTTATTATACAAGCGAATGCGATTTCAAAGATAACTGGATCAAAAAATCCGAATCTCTAAATTTTGGAGCTAAATGCTCAGATAAAAGCAAGCGACCGATAGGGGTTACAAAAATAATCGATTTATTGATAATTCTGATATTTTTTAATGAAAATCGATTTATCCGCTGTTTTTAATAAATTATTTTCGTTTTTTTTTTTAAGATAATGTATTAATCGATTTTAAAGGAAATACAGAAAAAGTAAATTTATTCAAAATTATCGATTTATCGTTTAATCGGTTTTTTAATTATTTGATTATTTTCGATTTTTCAAAGATATTATATGAAAATAATCGATTGAATAGATATTTTGGTTATTTTTTTAAAATTATCGATTTATTGGATAATCAGCTTTTTAATAATCAATTATTTTCGATAATCGAATAATCAATTTCAAAGGAAATATGAAAAAAGGATTATTAGAAAATAATAGATAATTCGTTTTATTTTTTGGAAAATCGATTTATCATAGAATCGGCTTCTTAATTAATTGGCTATTTTCGATTAGGCGATTATTTTGGAATTATTGATTATTTTTGGTATTTCAAAGATAATCGAATTATCGATTTTAAAGGAAATACAATAAAAATAGATTATTGATAATAATCGATTGATCGAAAATAATCGATTATTTAAAATAATCGATCATTCTGTTTTTTTGAAAATCGATTTGTCAGTTAATCGACTTTTTAATTAATCGATTATTTTTGAAATACAATAAAATAGATTATTCGTAATAATCGATTTATCATAGAATCGGCTTCTTAATTAATTGGTTATTTTCGATTAGGCGATTATTTTGGAATTATCGATTATTTTCGGTATTTCAAAGATAATCGAATTAACGATTTTAAAGGAAATACAATAAAAATAGATTATTGATAATAATCGATTGATCGAAAATAATCAATTATTTAAAATAATCGATCATTCTGTTTTTTTTTTAAATCGATTTATCAGTTAATCGACTTTTTAATTAATTGATTAATTTTGATTAATCGATTATTTTCGATTTTTCAAAGATTATCGAATAATCTGTTTCCATGGACGAAAAAAAAATGGTTTATTTGAAAATAATCGATTATTTAAAATAAACGATAATTCTATTTATATTATATATTGTAAACACTGATTTATCGGTTAATTGGCTTTTTAATTAATCGATTATTTTTGATTTTTCAAAGATAATCAAGTAGTCTATTTTAAAGGAAATGACAAAAAATATATTGTTTGAAAATAATCTATTGATCGAAAATAATCGATTATTTTCAATTATCGATAATTTATTTCGATAATCACTCATCCCTAGCGACCAAATGACTTTTAATAGATTTAAATTTTAAAATGTTATCTGGTTTCAGACATATGCATTTCTAGAGTTTTATGTGACTCATCCTTTATAATAAATAATATTCTTAAAGAAAGAAGCCTTAATATACTTTTTCTGAGGTTACAATACAAAACAGCATTTTCTCATTTTGACTAATTTTTAATAATATGTAATAGCCGTAGAAAAAAATATAATGTTCAACTCATAAGGGTAGATTTGCAGTATTAGCCTGCGCACATGCTATTTTTATAATACTCGTAGACATTTTACTGTAATCTCTTGCAGAAAAGTCCGTAGTAAATAAACGCTAACGAAATATTCTATAAAAGGTCTTCTCTTTTACATAAAATGTCATGGCATCTGTTTGATATTAAAAAATCACGATAATTTGATTTCATAATACAAAATTCGATTAAACACCTTTTAAATAAACCTAATAGTTCATTAAGTTGCTAATAAACAAAGTCCGGTCCCTGTCACAGAGTTCGGGTCGCTGCGTGTCGCCGCCCAGTTCCCCCACTCCGTTAACCCTTCTTTAGAAATTGGCAACATTTGCGCAGGTTTAAAACCGGTGTATGTTATATCTCTGGTCTCTTTTATCTAAGGTTTTTACTGTTTTTATTTTATTTCAAAATATTGTTTACAGCTCATAAGAAATAGTTTAAAGGTACCTATGTAATTGGTAACTAAACGATTGTATATTTGATACATGCTATCTACTTACTTTAGGAATATATTTATAAAAGTGAAAAAACGATATAATTTAGGTAAACAAAACAAACAAAGCGCACTCAAAAAATCTACTGTCACTTTAATTGTCAGTGGAACCATAATTTCATCATCACTGAACTAGCGCACTGTTGAGGGGGGTTGATATACAGTACGTTAACCCTTGGATCCTTTGAGATTAAGATAAGAAGCTTAATTATATTTGCAAGTGAGAAAGTCTAATCAATAGCATTGCTTATTCTATACCGTTCTTCTGGCGTCATTGTGGGAAAGTTAACATACGGTATATATAGTATTTAAAATGGTATTTTAAAATAGTTGTTTACCTTTTATTATCTATCGATTAGTGTAACTTATCACATAAAAAACAAATTTCGTTCTAGCAATGAAAACTTTGAAATTTAAACCCCGTGTAAATTCCGTATTTCAGTTAGGTAAATTGGAATTAGAAAAAGTTTTTGTTTTTTTTATTATCTTTCGATTGGCGTGACTATATTTTGCTAACATGACGCATGCAGGTACTTTTTGGGATACCAATATGTTTCTATGATGAGACATTTGTCTGTACTAGAATGCCTAGCTTGGATATACTGTCATGCGAGCCACCTTTGACCAGTCCGGCCATGCTCTAATCCATTAAGTCCCTCTCTGTCCTATTTGGGCCTTTTACGGCCTCCATATTCTCGTTACGAAACAGTTTCGATTAAATAAGTTTACCTACAAAAGCCCCCTAGAGGACGACTATGGTCGTCATCAGTCGAATTGAATTATCTGATCTAGAACATACTGGAATGATCACAAAATATCTAGATCAGGGGTATCCAAACTAAGTCCTGCAGGCCAAATCCGGCCCGCCAGTATCATCAATCCGGCCCGCGACACTTAATGGCTTATTGTTGCTGTGATAAGTTGGATAAAAAAAACACGGGTTGCACTCCGGGAGTGCCGGCAGAAGTGAAAACTTGAATATTAACGTTGTGCATTTTTGATTTTTTGGAATAGTTAGGGAATAATTTTGAACGAATTGCTTTTATTATCAATATAAAAGTACTATCATTTATGTGGTAGAATACAATATTTACATCCATAATTTCGATGACTTTTTCACCATCTCCATAATTTCGATGACTTTTTCACCATCATTATTACCAGAACCATCATCGCCAATCTCTAAAACTGATACGATAGGTTTATGATAGCTGAAGTAAGAAACGAACAGTTTTGATTCGAACCTATTTAAATGTCTAATAAAGACCGCATCAATACTAGTTTTGTACTTCGTTGTGCTAAGATTGCGTTCATTTGACATAGTTAAACCAAATTCATTATTTAAAAATTCAATTAATAGTTGATTTTTATCGTCTGCAAAGTTTATGTTGAAATATCCACTCAAAATCATTGGCAATTCATCAAAGCGTTTTCCAATTTTTTTTTTAAGCAATGCGGATGCTTCATGAGAATAAATAAATAAATTTTCGTACAAGAAGTCTCGTTTAAAAAATTTTTGAAATTGAAATTTATTGCACGTTTATTGGCTGTT